GACATATTTATGGATTTTTCCAAATTATTTGACATTTTTGGACAGATGCGACTTACAGGCCGAAAAATATGGTAAACATGAACAGTAAAGATTTCCTGCTTTCAGACATCCAGCAATTAAACTAATTTCTCTGGAACTGCAACATCCATCACATTTTTCCTGGGACTACGGTCATTCAGAACAGAAACTTTAGGATGGTCTAGCAGCTGCTAACAAAGTAAAAACTATTTCTTTAGGTATCTTTCCAACGTGTTAAGGATTTATGGTGCAATTAGGACCCTTATTTGAAGGCTTCCTGTAAAGACACCTGTCTTTCAGCTCTGAGGTTTGATAACAAGGCTCTGTGAACCTCAGGGGAAGCCCCCCCCCCCAGCTCCGTCCTTCACTTTCAAACCGCCGTTGTCATCAGATACCCAAGATGCCACTGTGACAGTAGAATCTGAGAGGCGTGGGTCAGCATATCACTGGCATCACAAATAGTAGGAGCTGTTAAGAACAAGGTTCCTCCTACTTCTGACAACCAGCCACGGCTAATGCATTAATGTATATAACAGCATGCTGATGGGCGCCAAAAGGAAACAAAAGCTCACACCGGCACGATAAGCTTAAGTTTGGGAGTTTAACACTCCAACTATTCCTGAACATCCTTGAGTCAGAGGTTTTGAAAGAACCACAAACAAATATGTTTTCCACAAACCTGACCACTGAGAAACAGAGCCATTTGTCTGTTTTAGTGCAAGCTGCCTGTCCCCGCCAAAAATCTATAAATAAATCCCAAATTGCACGTATAAAGCCACTTGGATCAGTCCAGGATGAAGACAATACCCATGAGTAACTTGTGCGCCAGTAAATCAATGTTTTTCTGCCTGAATTACAGATTTTATCCTCGAGCACTGCCACCGATGTGAGATGACCGAACCGACCTGTGAGAGGAGGAGCACATTGGAACTGTTGGAAAGGATGAAGGCTGCAGTGTGCAAAAGTCTTAAACATCCTATATGTGTCAAACTCAAGGCCCAGGGGCCAAATGTGACCCTCGTTGACATCTTATCCGGCCCCCAAGATGATATGTGAAACGCAAAATACTTCTATCTCTTGAATTTGTTCAGTAATCCTTGATTATGATGTCGAAAGCACAACAGAGAACATCAAATGAGACAAATTAAACTATTGTTGAGGACCAAGAAAAGATGTTGGGTATCTGATTTGAGTTCTGAAATTGGCCCTTAGTTTGAAAAAGGTTTTAATTTTGGCCCCCTTTTTGTAAGGGAGTTTGACACCCATGCTTTAAGCATGTATATTTCGCTTCCAGGAGTTTTGATATATTTTGAAGTGGTCTGGAAGAGCAATGTTAAAGCTATTTAACTGCGACCTGTAAATCATTCAGGCTCCTAAACTCAACGGACGACTCCGTGTTAAGTCAGTACACAGAAGAAATGTTGCAAAGAACTGAATATAAATAGAACTGGTTCACACTGGTTCATTTTCATCTATAAATCCCTTCTTGGTCTGCTACCTTCTTGTATCTCCTCCCACTTGTCACATCGTCAGTGCAGTTACAACATGCGCTCTCAGGTCATCGCTGCCTGCAGCGTTCCCTCAGTGCGGCCTGTGCTTGGCAAAGAGGTCTTTCCCTACTCTGCTCCTGCAACCTGGAACCTTGCAACAAGAACTGAAGCTGTCCATCTTAACTTCTTTAAGGGGTTTCAAACTTTTGATAATGTCAATGGCAAAATTAAGGCAGATATGTTCTTGTTTGTAGTATTTCACCCTGTTTTACAGCACCCTGATTTATTGTTTTATACACTACTCTTATTTTAACTGCATTTTTACTGTAGTTTATTGCTATTATTGTTTATTGTTATTGTTGTCTGTACTTTATATGTTCAGTCTGGAACAGGTCTCTCTTGTAAATGAGTCCTCGTGGCTCAATGAGACTAGCCTGTATAAATAAAGGTTGAATGAAAAAGGACATTTAGGCATTTTGTTACCAGTAGCCAGTAATAAAGACATGATTTGGTCTCATTCGTTAAAAAAACAAACAAGTCTGCCACATAAAATATTGTTTTAGCTCCAACGAATTAGCTGAAAATCAAACAGCCGTTGGTCAATTGAAGGATGATGAACTCAGGCTGGGTGATAAGCATTTGCTATATTTTTCCCATTTTATGATTTTGAGATACTGTTCATTTGTTGTAGATGACCTTTCAGGTTTGAAATGTCCTTTTTTTTATCCTCTATTGTTCGGCTTTCTCATTGTTAATTACACTCTGCACAGTGAGCCACCATGTTCAGGTACACAGATGTGGCAGAATCTTTATAAAGAAAAAGAAAAAGCTGCTAAAGTCTAAAAAAGTCTTTGAACGTCCAGAGCACTATCAATCTAGACCACTTTAGAGCAGACTGCTAACTAGATTACACAAAGGTCTGGCTCTTTGGAAGCAAAGTAGATTGGACGAAGACCTAAAGTCAACCATGTTCAAGTTAACTCCCCAAACTCAGCATATTCCCGAATACCCTCGTCCATTTTTACAGTGTGGCTGGGTGGAAAGAAGCCGGTGAGCTCACCGTTTCTATAAAAGGGGTGCTTTTGGGGATGGTAGAAGTTACCCTGGGCACATTGATCAATCTGCAATCCACAAACGTTTGGTGTGACGCCTCAAAACAGGAATTTTTTCTCTGTTCAACAAGTTCAGATACAGTCTAGCAACACACTGCCATTGAAGAAATGTGGTCGCCAGTGCCTTTGACACCGCTTCACAGGTTCTGCTTTGTTGAAACGATTTTGGTTTCTTGATCACCGTGGATCTGATAAGACTTGCAGTTTTACTTCTAATATTCATAAATTAGGCTTCGTGAAAAGTTGCTTAAATTCTTTATAGTCCATTTGTTACCGCGTCTGTCACATCGTGCTCAAGGACAAAATGTAAATTTGCTGCCTGCTATATTCTAACCTCTCCCGGGTGTTAATGTGACAAGAAAATGGATGTTTTTATCTTCAGTGTATACCTCTTCTCTTTGTTTGCTTAAGCAGGAATCACCGCTCAGCTTCGTTTTAAATTCAACCTGTAGGTTTCACTGCAAAGTATCATCTTTGCCTCAAACATTTTCTGCTCACAACTAAAACAGATTATGTCAACAGGTCTTAAAAGATACTTCAAAGTGAGAAAATACCCGTTCCTGTCACCAATAGGTGAGAACGATGGGACACTAATCATCATTACATGCAGTTTTGACGCTGTATCAAGAAACCTTAAAAGCCATTTTGTCCAATACATAAAAAAGACCCTTAAGCAATTCAGTTTTTTACATTTCTTTGAGTAGTGTGCTGACATGTACAAGTTTTCAAACATAATAAAGGCACAGGCTTGCCATGAACTGGACACTGGTGGTACACCATTATCCATGTCTGCAGTGAAGTCAGTTTTACATCGTCATGGACAGATAAGGTGCCAATCAAGAAAGAAGCCCCCGATCCAGAAGTAAAACCTTCATGCTGGACTTTAATTTGCAGGCACCCACATGGAGAAGCTAAATACTCTCTGGGGAAAAGTTTTAAAGTCAAACCTGACAAAGACTATATGGTCTGGCAACAATAACATGAAGTATTTTGGAAGAATCAAGATGTTTTCAACCCAAACTGTTAAGCATGGTGGTACGGTGAAAATGGTTATCAATAATTGTCCCAGAATTCAAAAGGCACATAAGAAAAGTTTATTTATGGATAAAGCAGATTAACATTGAGCTTCTGGAATGAGCTTTCCAAAGCACCAATCTCTTAAATCTTTTACAAATCTGTGGAATGTGCTAAAAAGTTTCTCTTTTTTTTTTTTATTATAAATTTTAATAAACTTTTCCAGTTCTGCCGAGGAAAGTGCTCCGATATCCAACCGCATTTACGCCAGATTTTTGTTGATGGATATAAAAAGCATGTGAGCTTGCCAATCTTAGAACCAAATCATTAGTGGACTGGTGCCTTTCCATCTTATTAAGACACTCAAAGTGCTTTACACTACAATCTGTGCCCTCATTTACCCATTCATACAGCACTCTACTGTATATTTACAAAGAATAATCAGTGCTACATCACATTTATACACAGATGGGACACACATCGGAGGCAATGAGGGGTTCAGTGTCTTGCCCAAGGACACTTCAGCATGTGGTTGCTGGTGCAATTGAACTCCCAACTCTCCCATTGAAGGACAACTGCTCTAACCACTCAGCCACAGCTGCACCAATAATGGGAATGCATTTTTTTGTCCTATTGTGTAATTCTGACCATAAATACACAATTGTGCACCCAATTCTTGCATTTTTTTTGGTATAATTATTCCACTCTGGAAAAAGAATAGTTACAATAAACCATTAAAAGCCCCAAAATATAGACATTCTTGCCCATGATGGCTGTAAAACATTGAATTCAAATGAAACTTGGGGACAAAGTTGACTCCTTTGAAAAACTCCAGTGACAATGATTTCTCTTCGTGCAACAACAGGGTCACAAAGATCCATGAAGCCAGAGAGAATTGGGATATGTGCTCGGTCAGGCCACCGGGGTGGGTATCTGTTCCCACCACACCAACATACAAGCTGTCATATCATTTACAGATCCGAACAGAGAGGCGCACTGTAATCCATCTGCGTCCAACAGCTAAAATAGTCGCCGCGCATGCACGGCGCTTTACGTGTAAGGACAACTTGGGTTGGAAACTCTTCTCCCCCGAGGGGAAGAACGCGCCCATAAAAAGTCAGAAACGAGCAGCAATCGATGGGTTAGCAAAAACCACTAAACCGTTCAAGAGACCCAGCTGAATCTGGAGTGACCGCTCATCGTGTCCTTGCACCTGCGGATGGGATGAGTGCTGTCGACAGGTGCGCCGCGGCTGCGCCAAACTTCACCAGTTGTGCACGTTGATGCGCTAACTTCCACTTTTTTTTTTTTTTTTTTTTTTTTTGAGGATTTGTGGTTTGACAACGCGCTGATTTGTTTTACTTACAGTTCTCAGGAATTGGATCTCATCCTCCCCTTCTCCGCCCTCAGCCATGGCTGTGAAGGAGCCTCCTCAGACTCTGGAAGCCTCCGCTGACTGCCGCCAGAAACGCGATGCTGAGCCTCTCAAGCCGATATTAGCTTCAAGATCATCCACAGCCATATAGGGAAG